TAAGGAGGTTTAATATGTACGAGTGTGTATGAGTTTGGGAATTGAGGGAAAAAGAGAGAGAGAGAAAGAAAGATATGAGGCGAAAACTGCGACTTGCTGTAAATTAATCTACTGTATATTGACACACACACACACACACACACACACACACACACACACACACACACACACACACACACACACACACACACACACACACACACACACACACACACACACACAATAACTAACAGTTCACAGTTTTTGTATTTTACAGTTCAAGGAGCATCGAGATGTTTGTTGGTATGATTGAATATTTGCGACCAACACATACAGTGAAGGAAATTATTATTATTTGAAAAAGAAAATCCAGAAATTGACATTAAATAAAAGATAAACATTTATTTGCTTTTAAAAGTGTGAAATAAGTATTTGATCCCCTTGCAAAACATGTCCATGGTGGAGAGGTTTGAATCTGATTGATTCTGTGGACAGGTAACTTTTATACAGGTAACAAGTTGATATTAGGAGTCTTTTTTTAAAGGAAAAGGACTTCTGTAAGCGGTCTGTGGGAGCCAGAGTCCTTGTTTGTGCAAGGGGATCAAATATTTATTTCCCACAGCTAAATGCAGATCAATTTATATCTCTTGTACGAGGTACATTTCTGGATTTTCTTTTTGATATTCTGTCTCTCATTAGTAAAACAAACCTACCATTAAAATTATAGACTGTTCATTTATTTGTAAGTGGGTGAATTTACAAAATCGGCAAGGGATCAAATGATTATTTCCTTCACTGTATTACTGAAACTAAAATGTTTCCAATCTCTATTACAGCTAACATACAAACACACACACTGTACCTAACATGCACAAAGAGGATGAGCTGCGGCCTGTTGATGTTGCACTTGGTCATGGTGTTGGTGGTGATGTTGAAGGCAGAGAAGTCGGGGGGAGGGGGGATGTTGTAGTGCATGGAGATCTGAGAGACAGGTCATCACAGTCAATACACAGTACAAAGGAACAATACGCTTTGATCAAATATTTCAGTAACTTAAAAAAAAAACATCTTTGGATTAAAATATCATATATTCCTTTTACTTCTGTATTTCAGTCAATTTTAGCCCTTTGTGTTGCGAGGCTCTTCTTTTTCTCGTCCTTCGAGGCCCCCGTACCCAAGTGCGCTGGACGCTCCTGCAAATATTCGTAGTGGCCCAACTATGGTTCTACAACTTCTGCTTCATTGGGCCCAAAATTACTTTTCCCCATTGACTTACATTGGGAAAGAGACTTCTGTAAATCAGTGGATAATTAAAAAGAAATTAAAATAAACGAACCAGTATGAGCACTTGTATAGCCCCTATTTGAATCATTAGGGTTTTTAAATGTGTAAAATGCGCTAAAACCTGAATCCAGTTTGATTTTCTCTCTCCATTCTACTGAGCAGATAGTGGGAGATCGGGGGCGGGGCTTAAGGAGAACTCAAGTGCGCATGCTTTATGAGCGTACATGCGGGCACTTTGCTCTCGACAGGCAGGCATGACGGGTCATTTGATGCTCTCGAGAGCAAAATGTCACAGACCATTTGGGCTCCATGCGCCACTCTCATAGGACTAAAGGAGGCCCCTCCTCCTCCGACACAGTATCCAGTTCTCTTTATACACCCATGCCCCGTACCTGTGCCATGACGCAGCTCTGGCCCTGGGCCCTGATGGTGTATTCTCCGGGGACCTCGCTCAGCTTCTGCTCCTGGTACAGCAGCCTGTTGCTCTGATCCACTCTGAACTCTGTGTTCAGGCCTCCCAGAGACGTCACCGTCACCGCCGTGCTGCCCTCCGCGCTGTAGGTGGCCGCGCCGTACTTAGCCAGGGCCTGGAGGGCCACCACCGTGTCCTGAGGGCCAGAGAGGTTACATGAGGAACGGAAATGTTGGTGTGAAGGTGTTTTAAATGTAACCTTAAAATAGGTTTTTATCGAGATCTACACTACATCAGGATTACACTTTTAAAAAAAAAAAGTTATAGGATGAAGTGTTATAAGTAAAAGTCCTGCATTCAAGATCTTACTCAAGTATATTTTTATCCCAATATTTTTGTATCCAAGGTGTTAAATGGTGACTGATAGTAATCATGTTGTATACTGCTGCTGAATATCTTAACCTATATTATCTTATAATGTGTGTGTTCAAAGTAACTAGTGACTTAAGCTGTCAGATAAATAGAGCGGAGTAAAAAGTACCACGTCGGCTTCCAAAGAATAGTAGAGTAGAGGCCTAAAGTAGCATTAAATGAGAAAACTCAGGTAAAGTAAAAGTACCTGTCATCCGGTCAACATTTTGAGAAACCCCTTCGGAGTATATGTCTAGGGTTTTATAACGGGTACCTGGTCTGTAGGTGTTTTACATTACGTACAGTATGTGTTTTATAGTTGAGTGGTGCTCACTCATTAGGAGGGTGCCATCATTGCAAGCATTCAAAGATTTTAGCAGGATTAATATACTAATAAAACATTTTTTAATGCAATTGTTGCCTTGTTGTAGAAGAGTTTTCCCATAAGCCACCTGTGAGTGATGCGTGTTACCTGTGTGGAAGAGAAGCCCCCGTACGGGTTCTGCTGCTGGGCCAGCCAGCGCACGATGCTGGAGGAGTAATCCAGGCCGAAGTCTGGCAGGGCCGGACCGGAGAGCAGAGCCAGCAGACGGTAGGGAGGTCATCTCCACCTCCAGAGAGTCCAGGCCTGTTCCCAGAAGCCCCGGCTCTCTCCCAGTGACGGGAGCCGCCTGTCAATCAGAACAGTTGATTCATCCTTTAGAAGGTAAGCAATGACCGACCCTGTGCACTAGCTCGGTGTGCTAGCTTTTGTAAGAGAACTTTTAATCGTCGTTTGGCAAGGTTTTTTTAAATGAAGGTGGATAATCCTTAATGGAAGCTGAACTGCATGTTCTAAAAACTAAAAGCATTCATGTTTCCTTCAAGGTGAGTTTTGATTTCTCGTTGCACTTCAAACAGAAGCTATATATATTGTTTATTCTACAACATAAGTGTTATGTATTACTTGTGACTACAAATGCATTTTAATCTGCGCTTATCTGTTCAGTCTTATTGTCTCTTGTGGCTAGAATCTGTATTAAAACAACAACAATATCCTGACAAAAAAGAAATCTATTATTCCAACATTTCATTTTTAACAGTTTATTTCTTAAAGATAAATGTTTGTTTTTTTTAACTGCCTTCATTGCTTGAAAAAACAGCTTACAGTGCAAAGAGTTCAGGCTTTCCACTTGAACTATAATGCCACTTACGTTTAATATTTCTTTACATCAGATTGCAAGCAATTGTTAAAGTAGTTAAAGAGAAATATTAATGTGTCCAAGGCTTACACTACAACATCTACTTCCTGTCAGCACTTCCATTTGAACAGTTGTGCTGATTTCTTTCAATATTTAATTCTGACTGCTACTGTTTTCAGAGGTCTAGCCTTTCCCAGCGTTATGCTCGTGTTGATGTAGCATTAATTTAGTTTAAGGAGAAAGCCTGAGGTTCAGATGTTGCCGATTCCACCGCCTTACCCTGCGTGTTGGACTTCTGGTTCAGGTAAGTGATGAGTTTGCTCCTCGTCTCCTCGTCTCCAGCCAGAGTGAAGGTGTAGGACAGCAGCGCGGTGGTGTACAGGTTTTCTAGCTGGGAGTCCACTGATGCCTTCAGACAGCTCAAGCACCTCTGCACCACAGGGTCCTGTCACACAAGGAGCGAGAGAACTGTATCAACCACAACAATTAACCATATTCATTTTGTATACGAATTTGAAGTCATTTGAACGGAAATATTCAAACACAGCCTATTTCAAGATGAAGAGTCAAAAAGAACACAAGCGCACATCTCTGAAAGATAATAGTGAAATAGTGCATTCTTTGTAAATTTCCACTACATGTGTCAAAGTGTTACCCTAAGTAATAGATCAATACTTATTTTTCCCCCTGTTAATTATTTACAATAAGATATTCCTTTTTAAATGACAAGTTGCCACATTTTTGTTGAATTAAAGAGAAACCCACACTAAGAAATATACAAAGTTAGAAACAAATAAACATTTTGTCTGAAAGAGTTATGGGAGCAAATAGCCCAAAGTTTTAATATTTACCAGGGCATGAAAACAATGTTTTTATGTTTAGTGTTTGACTTAATAATTAATCTAAAGGATCCAGGTTGCAGAATATTTACAGTAAATGTATCATTGTTGCAGAACAAGCACTTATCAGACGAACATCATATGATAACATTTAAAATCAGGAATGCAACAGGTGGATATCAACAATGAAAGAATGAAAGTTCATCAGAGTTTGAGTTGTGACAGAGACTCACCGAGGTGTTTGTGTCGAGCTCCAGCATGGCAGCTGTGATGTAGGCCGTCAGAGACACATCGTCACTCACTCCCCCCTGTTTGAAACATCAGAGGAGGAACAGTCAGAAAACACTTATGTCAGTGTCAATACTAACAACTTAAAGAACTAAAAAATGTATGCACATGGCACACAAGTTACTATTGCGGTTATGTTGAATATAATAACATACAACATTTATTTTTGTAGGATCCTGCAAAAGCTGCACTTAACAGGTATGGGATTCTTTAAACTCAACACTATTTTATTTAACGATTTCCATCAGAATTTAGGGTGCATCAGAGCACTTGTAAAAGTAAAAAAAAAAGAGATTAAGATCATGGATGTTTCTCTTTATTGGTCTTGCTATATCTTATAGGTCCATTACATAGGCTGGAACATGTCGTTGGCATGAATGAGCTGGGCAAAGCTGGTGCAAGCCTAAATTATTCGGGGAGTCCCACAGGGTTCTATACTTGGACCTATTCTATTCACCTTATATATGCTTGAGAACATTTCCATTAACTTTCACTGTTTTGCAGATGCTACCCGATTATATCTATCAACCTATCAATAATCTAAATGAAAGGAAGTGATAAGCGTTAACTTTAAGCATGCCTTAAGGAACTGAGTGACCTGCAATTTTCAGATGTTATTATTATTCGCAGACAAAACTGAGGTGGACTCATCACTCCTTTTAATAGGCTTGTAGAGGCTGCAAATGATAAACAGCTATCTATAGCTAAAGTTATTTCCAGCCATAGGCTAATAACAAGCTAATCTGTTGCAGAACACATTTAGTGGCTTAAAGACTGACATCCATTGAAACGTTTTAACCATGTTCTTGGTATTGATGTCTTACCTGCACTTTGTTTGAGGCCGTTATCCTAAAACAATGTGTGAAACATACTCAGCCACAGAGCCCTTTATGTGCAGGTTTATTCATTTGGTGACAACATTGATTCAGTTACTGCTGATTGGAAGCATTTCTGTGTTTTATTACAGATGCACGGCCCTCGGCTATTAAACTCTTGATTTAATTTAAATGAAGAAGCGTGTGCAAACTTTTGTTTGTCTAAAAATGTTTATGCAGTGCTTTTAGTAAACACTGCACATGTTCCGTCAAGTTGGTGAAGATGTTTTTTTATTAACATGTGTTTTGGCACATTTGTGTTTTTATATTTGCATTGTTTTTGAAAGTGAAGCACGTTTCTCCTAATGGAAGTGTTTTGGACCTGGTGTAGCACATTTGCACCTGTCGCTCACCGTAGTAAACCCTTTTCTATCCACAACATTACATTTGACTGGGCCCGAAGAAAACCGGGGCTGCAGATCTTTATAACACACCTCACCCCCTATCTCATTTGCATCCAAAGTTTACCCCCTTCTTGTGATGAAAGTGAGAAGGGTTACGGTATTTAAAGTGTATGATTAAGTTAGATGTTCAAAATGTATTAAAGGTGTTACAAGGTGAATGTGCCATGTATTCAGCAGCTAATGCTGAAGAACTTCCTAATTGGGAGAGTGTGTGTGTGTGTGTGTGTGTGTGTGTGTGTGTGTGTGTGTGTGTGTGTGTGTGTGTGTGTGTGTGTGTGTGTGTGTGTTAGCATGTCATTTTTGTTCTTTCATCAAAAGGGAGTGTGTGAGATTTGAGCTGAAAATACTCAGTTTAACAGCAAAGCTACAAAAATAAAAGCAGCTTTTTTTTTTAAGAATCTTTTAAAATGTTCTTAAATCACTGATGCAACTGCAACATGTCAAGTTATATAATCATTTTCTATTATTCATATTATTTTGATACTTCTATGGTTTTCAACTTTAAGTGTCGGGTGTGTTACAGATTGAGACAGTGGGTGGGATTAATGATCCCAAAGGCATTACTTTTTTATATTCTTACTTACAACCTAACTGGCTTTTAAATTCAGACTAGAAAACATTTTAATCAAAATGTTTTTTAAACCAATTGGATAATTATCATTTGTATTATATCTGTTATGCTTTATTTTGGAACAGCAGTTTAAATTACAAAACATACCTCAGGTCATACTCTGTAGGCAGTTTTTAGTTCCTCTGCGTCAATCTTTATTTGTATGTAGTGGTCTTGTGTATTTTAGCAGAGGTATAAAGCATTCACACACAAGCAATTAAAAATATGCTGAAGGGAAATCCAAAGTAAAAATCAATGAAGTTTGTTTGAATAAAAAAACATTAAAAGGTTATTCACTAACAACTCTACAAACCTAAATATTTTGCCCAGAATCTTAAATAACTAGCTTTTCTAAAGACAAGGAATACAAGTAATCTTTTCCTTAATTTAAATGTAATTTACTAAATCTATCCACTTTTGTATTGTTAAAGTTCTTGTTGTGCAAGTAACCAGTGCCTTTTGATAAAGTTTTTACGCATAGATAATAAAAAGTAAGCCATATATTCAACAGCAGAAAAAAAATGTGTAAAATTGCAAGGTCTATTATTCTCTTGTGTATATGCTCTGCCAAAAAAAAGGCCTCTTTACTGGAGACTCCCAAAAAAAGGCCAGTGAAAGCTCCCTCAAACTCACATGGTCCCAACATTTCCTAATCCCCCTTTCCAAATGTGCTTTCTGTGTCGGTGAAATAAAAAAACACTTCGGCCCAAACCCCCATCATTTGCATTATTATTTTTGTATTATATAAATTATATTTATTATTTGTATCAATGTTACTATTTTTGTCTTATTCCTAAATATTTCATCTAATTGACCTTTCAAATGTCTTCTTTAAATGTGGTTGTTATTTCTTTGTACAGCAGTCTTGGTTTTTTAATAATTTAAAATGTATAAATGGCACATTACAGAACAGACACATACAATGTATTTTAAAATGGCAATGATAAAAATGCCTCTTCTAATAAAAACAATGTGTGCTGTGCTACATCCCAACTAAAAATGTACTTCAAAATAAGGCACAAAAGATCTTCTTATCTAAAAGATATGACACTGGTTTTGCCATCAGCTGTTAGTAAATATAGAAAATGTTAGGTCATTAGCTTTACCCTAATCATCATGTTGTTACAGATGTTGAGGATGTTTACTGACCAGGTGTTTCCAGACTCATCGCTCTTTCCGAAGGCGCTGTAGGAGCCGTCATCATGCTTGTAGGTAAGCTCTCTCTGATATCCTGCAACAATCACACACACATTTACAAAAAAATCCCCTTTGCAGACAGACAAAAAAAAAAAGAAGAAGAGTGCTTGGGGGCTACACTGGTTAGGCCCTGTTGTTTCACATGCTGGTGAGACAATGATACAATCCCAGCAGGCTGCTTTAAATAATACATCAAGAGTCTGACGGCCTATCAGATGTCAGAATACTGCACAGCATTTATAATACTTGGAGATGAGATTTAGACTAACTCTAGATTTTTTTCAAGATGACTGAGGTGACATTCATGTAACATAGGGATCTACTGTCTGATGCAACACCTTGTGAACTATTTTCCACTTTCACTGTCTGTCAAAGA